ATTTGATAGCAGCCCCAAATTTATTGCTTTATATTGTGTGAAACAATGCTGAAGAGATGGCTGCAACATACAAATACTGTGCAAACGGAGGGGGCTGTGATGTTTGCTGTATTTAATCATTTGGGCCATTGAGTCTCACCCTGCAGTCAGCCTGGTGCATTAGAAACCCTGTGTGGCACTTTCGTCAGAGGCAGCTGCAGTTCTAAGATTTGAACAAGAGCCATTTCTTCAAAGAGCCCATAAAGTTCAATCATCCAGTACTAAACAATTTTCAAAGCTGGTTTTCAGAAGTTTGCCTTATCACAGAGACATCAAGTGCCAGGTCTTGGGACCAACAGAACAAATAATTCACAGGACTGCAACTGATAGAAAGTGGCAGCCTGGCCTTACCCATGCTTATTCAGTAAGCATAACTATCCCAGTTAAGTGAACTTTCTCCTGAGTAATCTTATACACACTTATTAGAGAGTTAATCCCACTGAACTCATAGACACATACTTCTGATTTAGCACAGATAAATATTATGACCTTAGGAAATCCCACTCTTTCAAGTTACAAATATCTATGGGCAAAGAAAACCAATAAAGATGTACAGTTCCTGCCTTCTGTTCTAAATCCTTCTCTTAAATATAGCCTTTTTCTGTATTCTGAAATAATTTTCATTTGAGTAATTTTCCACTTAGTAATGAAATAGAAGTCTTTGAACCTACATGTGCTGCTTTTCAAAGTAATGGTACTATGGTCATAAACTGGACTGTCTTTATATATGCATATAAATTAATATATTTTCATACATATAATCCAGATTTATATAGGCAATGTATAATTATATTTATATATGTAATTTATAATTAATTATAATATATACACACATATAATTTAAATCTTTAAAAGGGCTGAGGAGGCCCTTTAAAACATTGCAGGAGGCAAGGAGGAGTGGGGGAGCCAAAGAGGAAAAGTACTTGGCTTCTCCCCTTCCACAACCAGATGCAGATCCCAACAATTGATCCTGCCTATGTTTCTGCCCTCACCCTCAACTTGTGTAACAAATACACAGCCTAAGCAGGTATCAGTACCAGTTTTGCACAATTTCAAGGTTAAAGATCTTTAGAGTCATTTGAAGAATATTTTATACAAACAAAGCCTAAGGCTACAAGACGTATGAGGAACAAAGACTCCACTTAGGAAAAATATAAATAGGTTTTGTTTGTTTTCTAAATCAAGATTATTTCTGATCGCTGCTACAGAAGTGGCAGTTTTACCTCTGCTTGCCAATCACCTCCCCCCTAAATTGTTAATCTAAAGTAATTAACATAAGTGCAAAACTGAAACAAAGCCAGGTTGGAATTTGAGGTTTCATTAAGGCAATCTTCAAAACATCCACTTCTTTTTGGAACCAATAGTTTGGTAAACCATTTTGTGGCTCATTAGGTGACAGGCAGCATACTTAACCTCACTCTCCACAGAAATGGGACAAAAAATAAATACCCATTGTGACTCACAAAAGAGATAGAATCTCTGGACAGGCATGTTTGTTCTGGAAAAAAACGTGGACGTAGAACCTATTTCCATAGGTTTTCCTGAGAGATCACTGCTTGTGGTTACTCCTACAATTTGCGCCTGGAACCTCCAGTCTATTCTAAGTGGCATGTTATTTGACTGTGGCAGAATCCAAAGACCTCAGATTGTACCACTTCAGGCTGCAAGTAAGGGATACCCTTTTTTGAATGCTTCTCGTCTTTTTAAAGCACACTGACAATAGTTGTGAAAGCTGTTGCTTTACTTGCAGCTTTTTAAAAGTAATGGGTATATTAAAATAAAGCTTTCTGCTTAGCCTACACTCACATAAAATCTTCTTTCCCACCTCATCCAACGATCACAGGAAAATGCTTTATGCCAGCCACTGGTCCATCTAGCTCAACAGTGTCTAGCAGTCTACCAGTGGCATGCTGGCACTCCATACAGAATAACAGCCACACAGTTTTATCACTGCTGACACCTGTTTGTGCCAGACTTCCCTCTCATTTCTCTAGGAGAGGGGACAGGCAGAAAAAGGTGAGAGACACTGTAGTGGCTGTGCAGGGAATAAGGCAGGGATTCAGAGAGTACTACTTCTAGGCATACCTTGAGGATCCTTGGTCAAAATTAATATGACAAGTTGGGAAGTGACCAATAGAAGGCAACACTACTTTCTCAAGTGTTGATGGCCCAAAGTCTGTTTAAAGATCTTATTCTCTGATCTACACATCCTTTCTGAAACCTCTATTAATTATGATTAAGCTAAACATTGATTAAGCCTACCAAAAGATCACAAAAAAGTAGACATTTTCAAGATCTCCAGATCTCTTATGACAAGAAAAGGTTACAAAAAGTGAAATATCTTGATAACAAAGTCTTTGTGTCTTCATGGTGATTGCAACATCAAGTCATGTTCCCTCCTCCTGTCACCTCCACAACCTGCTTTCTGTAACATCTTGTCTGAAAAAGAGCTGTCAAGATGCCTTAAGCTTGCACATGTTGTTGTGATCTTCTGATTGGCTTAATACAGGTTTTACAGGAATACAAATTTTGCAATTTTGTTTATGATCTATGATTGCACAGTTACCTTTGCTTTGGGGACATATTTTCCTATCATCCTGGAATCCTACGTAAGTCAGTTGTAGATGTAATGAGAGTAGGGCTCATGATGTTTCACCAGTGGCTGTACAGATGGAAACAGTTTTGGGATAAACCAACAAATGGAAACTAAGCAGCTGGTTGAAAAACTCTAGTACTGGAGTTGCAGTGTTTTCCAAAGCTTATTTGTTCAAAACTATGGTTTCCTCTGGCATCATTGTATGATAGTTGCAGCAGAAAATGTTACTTTTTTCCTCTAGGTACAATCGTACCTTTTTATTTAAACGACATTTTAATTGTTAGCTTATTTATTGACTTTATATCTTTGGTCAGGGCATTCCAATTATATTGTTTTTATGTGATTATATGTATTTATTTATTGTTGTAAGTCGCCCCGAGGCTTCAGCGAATGGGGCAGCATAGAAGTTTACTAAATAAATAAATAAATAAATAAATAAATAAATTGTTGCCTTTTTAAAAGTCACTGGAAAGGCAAAATTCAACAGGTCAAGATCCTATCATGCTGATGTTAAAGATACACAGGAACCTAACCAGGAAAGAAAGACTGACATCCCTACATAAGGGAAATTATACCTGCTGGGCAAGTATAATGTAAGTTGATGTAATTCCCATCAACCCTAGCCAGTACAGACAATGGTGAGGGATGGTGGAAGTTGTGGTTCAACAACATCTGGAGGGACACATATTTTTCATTCCTGGTTCAGATATTTGGCAAAGGACAGAGGGCCAAAATAGATGTGAGGTTCACACACATATTAACCATGACCATGGCAATTGCCTCTTCAGCTGCCACATCCATCAAGAGGGAAGCCTCCACTAGCACTATTAGTGGTTTTCTTTCCTCTAAAGATAGCAAGTTACCAGTGGGGATTTTCTTCAAGGTCACAGTAGGTAGGGAAATGATTAAATGCTCATCCTTCACCTTCTGTGAGGATGGTCCCACTGCTGCTCACAGCCACCCACTACCAATATTCACATTTATTAAAATCTGCACATTAATTGCATCCCTACAATGAATATCAAACCTGATTTATATCAGTATTGCCTCAAAGAGCATAGCTTGGTGAGAGTCTGATCTAGAAATGGTTATCCATGCCTTTGTTATATCATGGTTAGAGTACTGCAATGCAGCCAGCATGGGTATACCACTGATGAAGAGCATCTAGAAGCTTTGTTGGTTTTATTTATTTAGTGTATGGCTTGTCACACATATACTTGTGATATATATTAACATTTGAACTAGGTCTTTATCCGACAGTGTCCTACAACTATTTCTCTGTTTAAACAAACATAAGATTCCACCCTAAACGGCTTCCTAAGAGGCGTTAAAATGGTAAAATAACTAAGTTGGTTTCAGAAAAGAATTAGACTAGCAAGAGGTGCCAGGAATAATGGTTGAAGACCACCACCAACCTGCACATATTCACTTAGGTGTCTATAACAAACATTCAGATGAACATATGGAGGGCTTCCATTTATTTGCTAAGTTCAAGCTGGGTGAACAGGACTCCAGAAAAACCAGATCAAATTCTATGTTCCAGCTACCTCACAAGAAAAGTATTGGGAATCCATGCCAATGAGATTTATTAATGAAGAAGTAAACTTTTAAAGTCAGTAAATGTTTGAGCCAGGAGAATGCACCAATGGGACACAAGATTATAGTCCCAAATGTTTAACAAGGTGCACAGCCAACAGATGCCCACTATGTAGTTTCTCCCCACTACCTATGTGCAAATCTACAACTGATTTCAGAGAGGAAGCTCTGAATGCAAAAGCAGCAAAGTCCAATTAAGTCTTGGGGCACTTCCCAAGACCAAGGGGGCATGAGGTTTCAACGGGACAGAGCGTGCCCACTGGGATCAGATGCCCCAATCGGGATTGCCACCCACATGTCCTTGTCAGGAACTTTCCCAGAACACACCGATGACGTACTTCAATGTAAACATGTACAGGAGCGGGCTATGAGGCTTCTCGCATCCCACAAGGCCGATGTCTCCATGCCAGACGCCACGCCAACTATCACACCCGACTGGCTGCTCCCGGAAACGTCAGCAGCATCCCGGGCAAGGCAGGAGAGGGAGGGGACCCGGATGCCAGCAGCGCAGAGGCCGGCTGGAGGAAGCAATTGCCGCTCCGCCGCCCAAGGCCACCCACCCGCCTACATGCCTTCGGACAGGCAGCATGGACTTGCAGGCCATCTTGCAGGGCCCCAGGCGACCTCGCTCGCCCGCGCCTGGCGGGATACAGGCGGACGCTTCTGATGTGGGCAAGGCTGCGGGGAGGGTGGCTGCCGCGTCCCGTTCCTTGGAGGGGATGGCGGGAAAAGGCGGCTCCGCCCCCAGCCCGGGGCCTTTTCCTCTCACCTCGCTCACCAGTCCCTGCCAGTCGCTCTCGGTGCGGTTGGGGTTCATGGCGGCGGCGGCGGGGGCCGCGGCTGCTGCCCTGAGCGGCCTTGGCTCCTTGCAGGCAGCCGAGTTTCCCAGCGCTGCTGTGGCTGCGGCCGCCGCCGCTGCCGCCGCTCCTCCTCCTCCAGCTGCTTTTGCGCGACGTGGGCTTCGGAGGAGAGCAGCCTGCCGCCGAGGTGGCGCGGAGGCGGGGCCCGAGCCGAGCCCGTCACCTGCCGCTGCTCCTGGGCCGCGCAGGGCGCCTCCCGAATGCCGCCTCCCGCTCTTGGTATGCAGCGCTGCGGGCCTCCTGGCCAGGCTGCGGCGTGGGCCCGGAGCCGCCTTCGCCAGCCCAGCGCCTCCAGATGGCGAGCGCAGGGTTGCTGGACGCTGCCTTGGCGCGTCCCCCGTTTTGGAACATAAAAACATGGCGAAGGGCCCCTCAGGTCACGCAAAAATGCCTTTTCCCCAGGGATGGCCATAAAAGTAGTCTGCCTTTAAGTGGCGATATTTTTTAATTGCCGTTTTGTTTTGTTTTTTAATTGCCATAAATATTTTTAATGTCACAGTTTTGTTACAAGGATGTATAAAGCAAGAGCAAATCTAGCAACAGAGCAGCATATAAAAGGAAAAGATGTAAAATACACATGTAAAAAACCATTGAAAATAAAGCAAAGTTCATTAGAATATTAATAAAGTAGCAATATCAATGTGTCAACAAAGTAGGCAGCTGCATATTCTCATAAATGAATTAGAACTGGCTGAACAGGGCATTCTTCACCAGGTGGCTCAAGCTGTGGAAGAGAAGCTGTAGAAGCAAGAACTTCCACAGAATAGGCTTTGCTACCAAGATGTCTCTTCAGGTGTCGGTGGATCATGAAATGGCCTTCTCTAACAATTCATGAAGGTAGATTAATATGATCAGAAAACAATGCAAGAATGCTTCCAGTTTATTACCAATCCAGCTATTCCATCTTCTGTGGAAAGAAAAAAGAAAAGATGATGAGAAAACATCAGAAGGTTACGAATAAGCCCCACAGAGAACCCCAATACAAGCTAGTGTAGTGAATAAAAATTGAAATAGATAAAAGGAAGGCAACTTCGGGCTAAAGTAACATGAACCCACACTCAGGTTTGTTGCTCAACTGTGAGTTAGGATGTTGTTTGAACCAAGTTGCACTAACAAGCCATGGCTTGTCAACTACAACCATGAAGGGAACCCATGGTTTGGTGCTGTGAACCAAGGGATACTTATGGATTTTTGCTTGTGATAAATCACAGTTCAACAACCCATGGTTCAAAATCAATTCACACTCTTTCTTCGGACTTCATGTGGCAGGGCTTATCTGGGGACACCTATTTGGTAGTGATATTTTTTCCTTTTTGTGGTGGCAGCAATGCTGATGGCTTTTTGCCAACCTATTCAGGCAACGGGCCAGCAAGATAGGAATCTTGCCAGCGCTGTAAAATTCTGGCTTGCTGACAAGCCTAATTGTCCCCAGACTTTGGTAGTCTACATCTCCAAGTCTACACATAGACTGTAAAACAACGTCTAGAAAGGAAAGTACTTTAAAATTTCTATTTAAATTCAGATTTTACAGCAGAGAGATAAAATTTATAATTGCACTGATCCTTTTAAGAATAAAATCTAAAACAAAAATCTTCTGTTCACTAGGAGCTTTATTCTAAATTATTTAATCTAGGATACAGAACTATAAACTTGTAACAATATATTGTATAACCAATGTTTAGTATGTACCAATAACATTTTTCAAGCTCCCAGAATGAGTCTTGCCCATTATGCATAAGATCTTGTTCATATCCTTGCACATCCAGAAGACCTCTCAGCTTTTTATTCCATATTATTTTATTATGAAGTTTAAAAATACTTAACAGAAATGATAGGGCATGTCAGAATATTCAAGTAAATATACTGAAATCAGAATATTACTTCAGGAAAGATACAAAGACCAGGGATCACACATCCTACGAAAGAATGAGCATGGTTCATCATACTGCACAGAAGTGCAGCACACAAGTCAGAGTAGCTATGCACAGCCTTAAATCTTATCTACTCAACTAGTCCTACCCAGTCTTCCAGGTTCCTTGAAAGTTGTCACTTCTTCTGCCTTCCCCAGGTTAGCTAGAGCAAGAATAAGAGTTGTAGGCCATGCACAATAAGGTAAGATCATAATCCAAAGCTCCAAATGACCTCTTTCCCAGCAATTTCATGTTAAAAAGTATGGAAAATAAGATGGAACCTTATGGCATCTCACATGACAAAGACCATTGGTGGAATTGCTGTCCCCAAGCACTACCTTATGAGACCAACCTTCAAGAAAAGAGCAGAACCACTGCAAAAACAATCTTGCTTTTGGTGCCAAGTTAAGACTTTTTAAATTTAGTATCTGTTTTTAGATTGGATTGTTGGTTTGCTTCTGGTTTATTGTTTTATTGGTTGGTGTTATTGGTTATATTGGTTTATTTCCTCCCATTCTTATTTATATGGTTGTATTTATATTGTATTTTAATTCTGTTATGTTTTATAGTTTGCTTGTTATTGTTATTTATTTGATTGTGTTATGAGCCATCCAGAGA